CTTGCTGCCCAGGCGGGTCTCAAACCCGCGGGCTCAGGCAATCCACTCACCTCAGCCTCCCAAAGGCGCGGGATTACAGGCTGAGACACCGAGCCCAGCTAGTATTTTTTACATTTGCAAAATTGTATTTCATTTTATTGCCACATTATTATAACATAATTAAATAATTTATTTATTATAGACATAAATATATTTTCTGAACTATCAGAGAGTAAGATGCACATATCATGCCGTTTTACCATCAAATTGGGAGGTATTTCAATTGTATCTCCTAAGAACAAAGACATTTTCTTACATAGCACAGTATAATCACTAACTTTGGCAAACTTAACAATTAAACAATATTTTAATATAATGCTCTTTTCTTTTTTCTTAAATTTTAGCAAAAAAAAGTCCTCTAGGATGTTTTTCTGCTTCCAGTACAAAATCCAGTGCATGTACTGCATTTAACCGTCATGTCTACCTAGACTCATCTAATCTGGAACAGCTTTCCTTCACTGAATACCTTTTGTTTAGTTTTGCTTGACATGGGGTCTTGCTATGTTGCCCAGGATGGTCTTGAGCTCCTGGGCTCAAGCAATCCACCTCCTTAGCCACCCAAGTAGCTGGGACTATAGGTACATATCGACACACTGGACTTCTGCTAAATATCTTTTAAACTATCTTATCATGACATGGTATTCAGTAAGATAAGATTTTAAAAGTTGAGCTCTTAAACTACACAGGGATATTACATTAAAAAAAGAAGTTCAGTGGAAAGTTCAAAGAAGACTTTGATAAAAATATATAAGCTAGCTGGGCTTAGTGGCTCAGCCTGTAATCCCAGCGGCTGAGGCAAGTGGATTGCCTGAGCCTGCAGGTTCAAGACCAGCCCCGACAGCTTGACGAGACCTCATCTCTACAGTAAATAAATAAATAAATAAGCTGGGCATGGTAGCACGCACCTGTAGTTCTGGCTACTTGGAAGGCTGAGGTGGAAGGATGGCCGGAGTGAGTGAGCCACTGCCCTCCAGCCTGGGCAACAGAGTGAGACTCCAACTCAAAAATAAATAAATAAATAAATAAATATATGTATATATATTTTATATATAAGCCTTCCTATTCAAGAGTAGCTTTTTAGTATACAGTAATACATTTTAAAACTTAATAAGGCCAGCGCGGTGGCTCAAATCTGTAATTCCAGCACTATGGGAGCTTGAGGCGAGAGGACTGCCTAAGCTCAGGGGTTTGAGAAGTGTCTGGGCAACTTGGTGAGATCTTATTTCTACAATATATCAAAAAATAAGCCAAGTGTGGTAGCACGCACCTGTACTTCCAGCTACTTAGAAGGCTAAGGCAGAAGGATCACCTGAGCCCAGCAGGTCAAGGCTGCAGTGGCCATGAGCGTGCCACTGCACTCCAGTCTGGGTGACAGAGTGAGACTTCAATTAAAAAAAAAACCCAAAAACCAAAATGTAATAATAAGGAGACTTCTATGTTTCTTGGAGATTGGTAATTCTTAGATTAGTGGCTTATTTTATCTCTTATGATTAAATAAATATATATAATAAATTATATATTATAAACTTGTATAAATTTGTATTATATATACAATAATACAGACAAATCTGGCCAATAATTTGATGGCTATCTGTAAAGTATGGATCTAGAGAAAATTACTATTTTCATCAAAATTCTCTCCTCTAGTTAACAAAACACCCAATCCCAATAAGCAACCCTTCAAAGAAACTGGAGTGGCTGTGCTCATGTACAGATAAAACTGACACTGGAACTAGAACCTACCTTGTTTTTTTACTCAACAAACATTCACTGTGTGCCGACCATGTGCCAGGCCAATGCTAGCTGTGGGGGATCCAGTGGTGGACAGAAAAAGCACTGCACCCACTCTTAGGAAACAGAATTTAGCAAACCACCAAGACTCCAGCTTTAAGCCAGGAAAGGTATTATTTTTCCCTGCTTTGCAAATGAAGCATTCCAAGTTTTGAACAGGCCCCAAGTTATCTAACTAATAAGTATTCTAGAGGAACAAGGAAGGTAAATACCCAAATCATGGTCTTCTGTCTTCTAACCTGTCTATGTCTGACCACAGAAGAGTTCCTTAACAATATCCTTTAAACCTATTGATTCTAAAGGGACAGTACACCTTCAACTTCAATGTACTACTTTTGTTTCACTGATTCAGTCATCAATTGGCTTACAAATAATATATTCATACTTTTAATTAAAACACAAAAATAACAAGTAATCAACATACATTAGAAAAAAAAACTATACAAAAGGCATATACAGTCTTTTAGGTACTTAGGATTTGTAACATTAAAATCTGGTAAAAACTGAGAATATCATATAATTTTTCTTTCTACATATTCCCATTTACATTCATTATTTTAAAAATAGGAGAATCCATTTTTTCCTGATTTATTTTCTATTTCAAAACAGTAACACAAAGTTAATCTAATTAGAATATGTGTTACACTTTCCAGGAAAGAATATATATAAATAAGTCACTGAGAGTTGACACCAACTTTTACCTCTTTCTAACTTGTCCCAATTCATCAATTAAACCTCAGCACTCAAATCTATAAGTACTTGTTCAGCCACAAAGAGCAAGGATCAGCTAATTTATTCTGTAAAGGGCCATACAGCAAATAATTTTCACTTTTTGGACCCAAATGTCTCTCTACAGTCATGTGTTTAATGACAGGAATATGTTCTGAGTAATGCATCATTAGGCAATTTCATCACTGTGCGATGAACCTAGATGGGGTAGCCTACTACACACCGAGGCTACACAGGTTATATAGCCTATTGCTCCTAGGCTACAAACCTGTACAGCATGTAAATGTAGTGAATACTGGCAGCTTTAACATAATGGCAAATATTTGTGTATCTAAACATAGAAAAGATAATGGATTGTGCTATGACATAATGACTACCACACAGGAATTTTTCAGCTCCATTATAATCTTTGGGGACGGCTGTCATATATCCGGTCTGTTGTTGATTTAAACGTTGTTATGCAGGGCATGACTACTTAGCTGCCATTACGCCCTGAAGGCAGTTATACATAATCTTTAAAACAGAGTGTCTATGTTCAAATAAAGCTTTGTTCATGAATACTGAAATCTAAATTTCATATGACTTTCACGTGTCACAAATTAGTATTCTCTGATATTTTTTCAACCATTTAGAAATGCAAACACTACTCTTAGACCATGGGTGTTACAAAAGCAGGTAGCAGGCTGAATTTGGTAGTGTGCAGACCCCTGATGGAGACCCACTTGCAAGCCAAAGCTGCAATATGTGACTGGACCTTCTGTGCCTCAATCAAGAGGCATTTTATTTCTAACCCTAAGACCCTACAGGAAAAAAATAATTCTTATTCCACTTTCAGCCATTTGCAAATCATGTCCCATGACCTTAGAAGATAGCAAGTTGCAATTCCTACTTTTAAGCAGCAATGTGACGATTTCAACTTTTCCACTCCTCCTAAGAATAAAAAATCTAATGATAAAAGCTGTCAGGGGAAGTAGCAGATCGTGCGCCAAGTATTTGTCTAATTCCTTAATTCCTTGTCCTGATCTACCAGGAGGCTGTAAATCCCACCCCAGTATGATTAAGGGAAAAACAAAGATGTCATACCTCTGAGCTCAAAATGAAGATTGAAGGTGTCTAGTGAAATTTATGGAGTTCTAAAGATTCATCTAAGAAGACTGAAGAATTTCTCAAAGGCATCTTACAGTGTGACAGAATCAGCTTCGGAGTTTCAGCAGCTTTACAGGAAAAAACAAAATAAAAATTCTGTAAAAACTAGGTCAGTTGCTGAAATAATGCTAACCAAATTCTGAGTAACATTACCTTCAGTATTTTTTTTTCATCAATGTATACAACATTTATTGGAAGCCTCCCCTACATGCCAAGCATTGATAGAATGCAGCAATGAACACGTCAGATCTCTTCAATCCCTCTGGGAACTCAGTCTGTAGGGCAACTGCAAATGGGATAACAAGTATGAAAAATCATGACGGAAAGCATGAGAGACACAAACCAGTCTGCTGGGATTTTGCTAGTAAATGTCCCCTAAAGGAACAAGCATGTATGTGATCTAGGCAAAGAGAACATGTTTTGTCCGAAGGGAACAGGTTTGTTAAAAGGGCTAGACATATATGAGAGTAGGATATTTGTATGGAAGTAAAAGAAGTCCAGTGTGAAAACTGAGATGAGAAAGGGTATTATTCCCTGGGATAAGATGGGCAAAGAAAGAAAGCAAAGAGAGAATCAATTTGCCCTGAATCACACAGGCCAAAAGGCAGAGCCCATTTTAAACCATCTCCATTTCACTGCAATACACTAGCCATTCTGACACTCTGGGAAGGCGTCCTAGACAGGAATTACAGAGTTTTGCAAGAGCCCAAAGGAGGACTGCCCTGGGCCAACAACCAGTCTCCCTGAAGATGAATGAAGAATCAACTGACCATCAGGGGCCCAGCATGCAGAATAATGAGGGAGGAAAAGACAGTCTCAGAAAAATTTTCAATTACTAATTAATAACTAGCAAGCACTTTACTAGGTATAACGTCCTGCTTTAAATGCTTTACATGTATTAATTCAATCCTCACAACATCCCTATGAGGTAGGTGCTTTTTTATCCTATTTATCCAATGTGATTTTAATGAGTCTAATCATGGCTCTTGGTTTTCTTTTATTAACAACTAAAATTCTCAGAAATGGTAACAACGCTTTTGAACAAAAGATTAAAAGCATTTTAACTATCCTTCTATCATAAAAGTACTATCTTAAACATTAATAAAAGCATAAGACTTTACAATATTAATTTGCCTATTTTTTCTAACTTAATAGGTTTGTTTCAGGTTCACAGCAAAAAACTGAGTACAAAAACTCCCTGCCTCCACACATGCACAGCTTTCTCCATAGTCACCAGTCCCCACCAGAGTGGTACATGCATTAAAATAGAATTACTTATATCCTTATCACCTCAAATCCATAATTTTTATCAAGGTTCACTATTGGTACTATACATTTCATGGGTTTGGGCAAACATAATGACATGTACCCATTATATCTTAATTTCACTGCCCTAAAAATCCTGTGAGCCATATATTCCTCCTTCCCAACCCCTATTATCACTTGTCTTCTTATTGTCTCCATAATTTTGCTTTGCCCAGAATGTCATAAAGTTGATCATACAATATGTAGTATTTCAGATAGGCTTCTTTCACTTAGTAATAAGCATCTAAGGTTCCTTCCATGAGTTTTTATGGCTTGATGGCTCATTTCTTTTGGGCAATGAATAATATTCCATTGTCTGGATGTACCACAGTTTATTCATCCACTCACCTAATGAAAGACATCTTGGTGGCTTCCAAAAGAAAAAAAAGGGAAGTTGCTATAAATATCCATGTGAAGGTTTTTGCATGGACATAAATTTTCAATTCAATTGCAGGTTTATATGATAAGATTATGTTTACTTTTGTAAGAAGCTGCCAAACTGCCTTTCAAAGAGGCTGTAACATTTTGCTTCACAACTTTACCAGCACCTTGTTGTCAGTGTTCTGGATTCTGGATTTTCACCATTCAACTATGTATGTAGCATTATCTCATTTAATTTGCATTCCCATGATATAGGATGTGAAGCTTTTTTTCATATGCTTATTTTCCATCTGTATATCTTCTTTGGTAAGGTATTTGTTATGATATCCAGTCCTTTTTTTTTTTTAACTGGGTTGTTGGTTCTTTTATTGTTGAGTTTTTAAAGTCCTTTGCATATTTTGGCTAACAGTCCTTGAATAGATGTTTTCTGCAAACATCTTCTCCTAATCTGTGGTCTTTTCATAATCTTGACAAGAGTCTTAGAGCAGAAAATTTTAACTTTAATAAAGTCTAGTGTATCAACTTTTTCTATCATGGAGAGTACCTCTAGTGTTGTCAGTGAATTCATTGCCAAACCCAAAGTCATGAAGATTTTCTAAGTTAACTTCTAGGAGTCTTATACTTTTGCATTTTTACATTTACATCCATGATTCATTTTGAGTTAATTTTTCTGAGAGTACAAGACCTGTCCAGATTCACCTTTTTACATGTGACTATCTCAGTTGTTCCAGCACTATTTGTTGACTATCTTTTCTCTTTTCTCTCTTTTGTGAACCATCAGTTGACTACACACTCATGTGCTATGTAACAAAGTTTCTGTCAAGGATGGACCACACACACACCCACACCCCTCAGTGGTTCCGTAAGATTGTAATGAAGTTGAAAAATTCCTAATGACTAGTGACTTTATAGCTATTGTACCATCACAGTGCTGTTAGTTTTTTTTAAAAAAATTATAAAGTCTACAGTAGGGAACAATAATGTCCTAGGCTTTCCCGTTCACTTACTACTCACTCACTGACTCATTCAAAGTAACTTCCAGTCTTGCGAGCTTCATACATGATAAATACTCTATACTTGTGTACTATTTTTTAATCTGTATTTTTACCATACCTTTTCTATGTTCAGAAATGTTGAGATACACAAATATTTACCATTGTGGTAAAAATATGCACAGTATTCAGTCTAGTAACATGCTATATATAGCACAAGTAGCCTAGGTGTGGAATAGGCTATAGCATCTAGGTTTGTGTAAGTATACTCTGTGATGCTCACACAATGTCAAAATCGCCTAACAACACATTTCTCATTTCAGAGTCACAATGTCAAAATCGCCTAACAACACATTTCTCATTTCAGAGTGTATCCCTGTGGTTAAGTGACACATGACTTGTATTTACATGGGTCTATTTCTTTGCTCTCAATTCTGTTCCACCTCATCTATTTGTTTCTTCTTTCACCAATATCACACTGCTTGGTTCTGTGGTTATATAGTAAGTCTTGAAGTCAGGCAGTATTAGACCTCCAACTTTGTTTTCTTTCAACATTGAGTTGATTACACTGGATCTTTTGTCTCTCCATATAAACTTAAGAATCAGTTTGTTGACATCCACAAAATAACTCACTGCAATTTGACTAGATTGTATTGAGTCTATAAATCAAGAAGGGAAGAAATGACATCAATATTGAGTCTTCCTATCCATAAACATCTCTTAATTCATTTAGTTCTTCATTTATTTCTCTCATCAAAGCTTTGGAGTTTTCCTCATATATTGTATATATTTTATTAGATTTTATATGGGGATGTTAATGTAATGGTATTGTGCTTTTAAATTTCAAATTCCATTTGCTCATTGCTAGTATATAGGAACACCATCTACTCTTTATTAACTTGTATCCTGCTATCTTGCCATAATTGTCTGTTGGTTCTAGTTTTTTTTTTTTTTGTCAGTTTCTTTTGGATTTTATACATAATTGCACAATCTGCAAACAAATTTTATTTCTTTTCTTTCAATCAGTATATCTTTCATTTCATTTACTTATCTTACTGCATTAACTAGGAATTCCAGTACCATGCTGAAAAGGAGAAGAAAAAGGGGACATCCTTACCTTGTACTTGATCTTACTGGGAATCTTAGGTTCTGAGTTCTCACCGTTAAGTATGATGTTAGCTGTAACTTTATTTTCACATTCATGCAATTTTTTTTTTGAGTTGAGGGGTCTCATTCTATTACCCAGGACAGAATACAGTGGCATGATCATGTCTCACTGCAGACTCAACCTTCTGGGTTCAGGTAATCCTTCTGCCTCAGTCTTCTGAGTAGCTGGGACTGTAGGCCTGTACCATAACACCCAGCTAATTTTTTCTTTTTTTGTAGAGACAAGGACTTGTTATGTTGCCTGGGCTGGCTTTGAACTCCTGGACTTAAGCAATCCTCCTATTTAGGCCTGCAGGCATGAGGTCACTGAACCTGGCCCATGCAATATTTTTATTTACTCTTCCATTCATATTCCAACACCAACAGCTAACTCAGTGATGCTCTTCACTGCATTTTTGCTTAGGACAGAATCCAGTCTAGAGTCAGGTATTACATTAGGCTGTCACCTCTTTTTTTAATTAACAGCTCTGAGGGACAATTCATATACTATATGACTTACTCATATAAAACCCACAATTCAGTGGGGTTTTTTTTAGTATATTTCCAGAGTTGTATAACCATCACCATAAACTAATTTTAGAACATTTTTCTTTCCCCTTTGCTGAGCTATAGGTTTTTGTAGTTGTTCCTTCTCAAATTGAAAAAGATTCCCCTCTACTCCTAGTTTACAGAGGTTTTTTTTGTTGTTGTTGTTGTTGCTGTTTTTATCAAGGATGTGTGTTTGATTTTGTCAAATGTTTTTTCAGCATCTACTAATATGATCACAGTATTTCTTCCTTAGCCATTTGATGTGGTTTGTATTCATTAATATTTTATTTTTGAACCAGACTTTCATGCCTGGGATGAATTCCATTTGATCATAGTAAACAGTTCATTTTTTACACTGTTGAATTTGATTTGTTAATATTTTGTTGAAGATTTTCGCATCTATGTTCATGAGAGAGGTTGATCTGTTTTCTTTTCCTGCGATACTTTTGTCTGGTTTGGTATTAAAGTAATACTAGCCCCAGAAAATGAATCAGAAAGTATTCCAACTGTTTCTATCCTGTGAAAGAGACTGTAAAGTATTGGTGCAATTTCTTCCTTATATGTTTAGTAGAATTAGAATTCACCTGTGAACCCATTTGGGCCTGGTGCTTTCTTGTATGACTTTTTTTTAGACTATGTTCTTGAAAGAATTTGTTCATTTCATCTAGTTTATCAAATTTGTGGGGACAGAGTTGTTCACAATATTCCTTTGTTAGTCTTTTAAAGTCCATGAGACCTGTAATGATGAATCCTCTTTCATGTCTGATATTAGTAATTTGTATCCCATTTTTTCAGTTAACCTAGCTAGAAGTCTATCAATTTTATTGATCTTTTCAAAGACCCAACTTTTGGTTTTGTTGATTTCCTCTACTGATTTCCTATTTTCCATTGTATTTGTTTCTTGCTCTAAT